GTAAAGGAACTTGGCCTTGCGCATGATCCGCAGAAAGTATTCTGTAGTGGATTTAGTAGTAAAATAGGAGCCAATACTCCCTATGTTTCTGTTGCACTAACTCGAGTTCCTTAAATCCCTTGGTTATCTGAACAAACTTTGTTACCCAATATGAAGCTTAACTAGCAAAAATGTGAGTAATTTCTGCCAGATTAGTATTGGATTAGCTAATCAACCCAGGGATCAGAGGGATGCCAGAAGCAACGTAAAGGAAGATGGGGTGAGGGACAGGAGGACCACTTTTGACAGAGTAAGCTTCCTAGATGGCTTCGTTCAAGTCTGATTTATGTTTCAGTTTGCACACTCTCATGAACACAGATTGAAGTTTTCTAGCAAACTTGCATTCTGAAGTGGTGAACAAGAGCTTGCTTGTCACCTGTGCAAGTAGTAGTCATGTACAAACTCTCAATTTTTCTAGAAATCCTTAAACTGACATCAAGAAACTACAGACTTCAAGAAACTACACTTTTACCACTTGAAATCCAGAGAACACAACTTTCTGAAAACTGGGAAAACAGTTTGTAGAATCTTTTTCTACAATGGTGAATTGACTTCTGACAGGCTTTTCCATAGTAAGGACATTAATAAACAGTGTATCTGATAACAGATTTGAGAGTGATAGTATAAACGGTGTTAATGTATGTGAGAAGGATAAGCTGTTGCAGTAGACAACAGACGTATATTACATTTACTAGAGCAGATTTTACTGCAGTTTTCTCCGTAGCAGAGTCTTTGGCTATGTGATCTGATTTTTTTTTTTGGACTGTATTCAGGCAACAAATTCTCGTACTAAATGTAAACTTTTTTAAACTTTTATGCCATTGCTATAGAAGAGTGAGATTTTAATGTTAAAATAAACTTATTTAATGATGGGCTGTGCAATTAGGCTGTTAAGTTTCTTGCTCTTGTTTGCTCTGTTGCTCCAAGTCTTGGTTTTGGCATTAAACCATTTCTGTTACTACCAAAGCACACTCTGAAATTCATGCTTAGAAGACGATCTGTCCCTGGAAGTGTGCTACCTGGAATGCTGTACAAAGTGGTATGATTAAGTCTGATTTCTACCTCTTTATTTTACCTTTTATCTATCATTGTTATCCCAAAAGAATCTGGAAAACTTCCCAAAATGAAGTGAATATGGATAAACTGGTAAAACTATTTTCTTCCAGCCATTGTCACTTGTCCTTCAGCTGTAGTTTATTCTCTGGTACTATTATTCGACTCAGGATGCATTTATAGTTCTGTTTTATAATTTCCATCTCATTAGGTATCTGTACTATGTTTGTTGGTATCTTTAACACTCTATGCAAAGAGGGTAGGATGAAAATTGGAAGGATTGTTTGGCATTTCCATAGAAATAAGTGTCCTGACCCTCTACAGTGTAAGTGTACAGCAACTATGATTTCTGATTTCTGTGAAAGACTGATTTTACGCATTGCTGCATATGTGCAGCAGAAGAATGACAGCTAATGATTGCAACAAGTTTGCTTGTTACAAGTGATGAGGGTTTTTACTTAAAGATACTGTAAAATGCTCTGAAGACTTCACAGAATTATTAGTCAATATTTGGGACTGCTTTTAAAAGAAATTGAGTAAATTAGATGGCATAAAAGAACATCTAAGACATTAGCCTGGTGAAAATCCTTTTGGCTAATGATCTAGAAAGTACAAAGGCAAAAATTATTCTGGAAGCACTTGATTCAGGATATACTGTACCTCATTAAAAGTGGGAATATCAGAGTCTTGTTCTGGGCTCTCACTTCTTGCATGGTTTTAGGCAAGTGAGATTATTTACCCAATGTGTTCCCCATTTTAAAATGTGATTCTGTGGGCAGAACTTAGAAATAGTTGAAAACGAGTCCTAAAGCGTATGCTTGCTTATGTTGTTGTGTTCTAGAATTATTCTTGAATTTCTGATATGATCAGCCAAAGAAGAGAGAATATGGGAGTCCTAAGATACAAAGCCACAGGGGAAATTTTACAACAGTATGCCTTGTGAACAGGAAAGCAGCATTTTTTCCTTTCAGTCATTGTCTGAAGAGTTGAAGGTCAATAGACTCCCTCAGATTTCCAGATGAAAACTGGCATTGGTGTTGCACTCCAGCTATAGATTTCCAACTTCCAAGAAGCACAGTTTGCTGTTCTTTCTAATGGGACGTGATGGGAAGGAGTTGAGAGAGAATGGACATTCCAGAATGGACCTCATTTTGCCTCCTTAGCAAAAGACTAAGCAGCTGAGCTTTAGTTTTTTTTTTCCTCTTGAATGCTAATTTTGCGGTTTAATGGCAGGAAGGAGATAGTAAAATCAATTCCATTTTCTGGCAGCAATCTGGACTGTGTATATGATACAAATTCTTTTTATCACTAAAAGAAGCTCAGTAATGATTTGTTTGTAGGCACATTGCCAAAATGCAAAGATTTTGGACTAGTTCATAAATAGCTGTGCTCTTCAAGCCTTACAGTCTGTTCAAATTTAAACCTTCCCATCATTCTAGAAATGGGAGTATGTGAAGAGGGGGAAATGAACATTTTTTGGCTTTGAGTCACTGCGCAGACTGCAATGAATACAGGCTTTGATTCCGTAAGGGACCTTTTTTCCTTCAGTCCACCCAGTTCTGTAAATTGAGGATTACTAACTTGTTCAGCTCATTCCAGCTGGACATTGTGTGGTCCTGGGGGAGGGAATTCTAGGGTACCTAAAAGGCATAGCAGTACTACTTGTATCAAGTACATTGGAACTTAAACACTAGCCTTGCTTTTTTGTAAGTTGTGTTCTTGGAAACAGGAGATTTCTTTGATTTGTAAGATTGTGCAGACTATCGTATCTTATCCAGACCCCCACGGTGGGCTTGGACTAGATGATCTTTAAAGGTCCCTTCCAACCCAAACTATTCTATGTTTCTATGACCTTGAGTTAATTATTTATAATATTGAAAACTGAGAGTCCTAAGCAGAGAGATCCATTAGTAGAAAAAGCCAGTAAAATTGGCGGTGTGGGACATAATGTCATTGAATGTTGTTGAGTCAGAATGAAACAAAATTTGTTTTTCATTAATACGCTTTCTGGTCCAACAGGACGTGTGCCTATTTCAGAAAGACATTAAACCTATTTACATCTCGATGTTCCTGATGCCTTTCTTAATAGAATTAATGGGATAATCTAGGCAGTGAGAGTGTATTTAGTACTGTCTTACACTGCTGTAGGATCTGGCTAGAGCTGATCAATATTTATATCAATCATCTGCTATAAAATGTGAAATCATTGCCCAGACTTGCTCAGAGGAGGTGTTGACCGCAATGATAAATCAAGGCGAACAGCCAGTACAAGGGACATGGATTACGCACAAAGATTCATTTAGTCAATTGCATTGACCTAGTGTGGACAAATGTGAGGTCATACATAAAATGCGAAGGTGGTATACTATGTATTACATAGCAGAGATCTGTGTTCTGGATAAGCAAAATTGGGTCAAGAACTATGAGGTGGGGGGACCTCTTCAAAACATGAAGCTTCAGTGGCTATGGCAAGCCTCGGGTACAAAAGCAAGTATTAGCATGTCATTTCTCTCTCTCAAAAACCAAAGATATTGAGGAATCTAGATAGCTCACTGTAGGTTGGAAAAAGTCTCCTTTTACTTAATAAAAAATGAAAGTTTTAAGCAGCTTGCTCAGTTAACTTGTTGACAGAAATAGTTAATAAAGCCTTACTCTAATGAGAGCGCTGTAATATGGGATAAATGCACAGCCAGATCTGATCTCTGACTCAAAGTTCAGGCCATTAACTTGAACATTACTAGATTCTCAGTCACTTTGGATGCATTATTGATAAGTAAACCTGATTTTAAAGTTGTTAACCTTCATGTGGGAGTAGGAGGGAGAAAAAGTGTTGTGGCTTGTAAAATGGAGGAGGCCAGTCTCCATACAGATTGTGGAGCTTTTTTGGAGGTGCATGGCAGCTTTCTGCATCAAGCCTGAAGGGTACAAAAGGTTCATTCTCTCTCTTCTAGCTTTCTCACACTTGTTCACCTTGGAAACTGAACCGTTGAATGGCGTCTCTGATGGGCCATGGGCATTGTAGTAAACAAACAGGAATGCAGAACTTTTGTGGGCCCCTAGTTTTTTTCCTAAATGGAAAGCTACAGTGCATCATAATGTGTAGGTGATGTGATAAGTCAACATAGGGTAGAAAACTACCAAATCTCGTTCCTACAAAGTTACTATAGTGATATGTACCAGCTGAATATCCAGGCTCAGTGGTTTTTTTTCATAATTCTCCTGGTACACCTTGGGGATATGGATGTTTCTCTTTATTTGAATTTTGCTTAAAACTCTGATGTCTGTTACTGCTTTTCTTTGATACCTTGTCTTTGTCTAGCTGGCAAAGGTTTCATACTAGTTTCTGAAATACCTTGAAAGTCAAACAAATGATTAAATGTCCATCACTGGATTATGAGCTGAACAGAAGTGTCAGTTACAGAATAGATCTTCAAGTTTGAACTAAAAATTGAGGTGAAGCATTTATAACAAGGTAAATGGGTTCCTCTCCTTGGCTTGCCTTTTACGATCCTAAAATGCCAGATAGGTTATAGGGGCATTAAGGCAGGTGTAGTGACATTGAAACATAAAATAGGAAGTAATCCTTCCCTAGAGATGGGTAGGCTGCAAACCTCAGACTTCATATCTGGGCTTTAATGAAGCATAACTTAGAGAAGAACACTACTTTCTTCCAAACCTGGTAAAAACATGTGCAAAATGGATTAGACATCTAAGTTGTTCTCAGATACATAAGGATGTAATAATTTTTTTCTGGTTCTTTTGAATTCCTTCCTCAGTGCTGTACAAGGACGGAAGACTTCTTTATTTGCCAAGACCTCAAATCATAGTTTCATATGGAAAACATCACCTTTCTCTGTTCATCTTTCTACAAAGCGTTTTCTCTATTTTTTTTTTTTTTCCCTCCCCAGTGTTCTGAGGATTATAAACACAATGATGAGTCACCTCAAGAAGACGAAGGGTTTATGGGTATGTCACCTCTTCTACAAGCCCACCATGCTATGGAGAGAATGGAAGAATTTGTGTGTAAGGTAAGGGCATGTGAAAACTTCTGAAGTAGCTTCCTTTTTTAGGAAGCTCCAGTGGACAACAGACTATACCTGCAGCACAACTGTGCTACTAATGTGAGGGAGAGCAGGTGCACACCATTCCTGAATGGGCATCTCTCATTATAGCTAGTAACACTACAGCTTCTCAGCATCTCAGTTGGCCATAAATGAATAAATTGTAAAGCATGGAACAACAGGGATTATAAATGAGACTTTAAAGCTGATCATGCAACTGAGGAGTCTCTTTTGAGAAACACCTGTGAGTGCAAAGCAGAATAAAAGCCTTCTGGTTCAAGGCACTTACACTTACAAGGCCATTTTTTCCACATTTCTTCAAACTTGTGAATATTTAGCTTTTCCAGCACTGTTTGCATTTGTTGAAGAATAAGCTTTATCCCTTACTTAAAAAGAAAACAACGCTGTATTAAAACTATATTTAATATTGTATAATTAAAAATATTAGTTAAATAATAGTTTATAAATATTGTATATTTAAGTCCATTGTAAATTTTGTAATTGCTGACCTTGGCTCAATTCTTGCTACTTTTTAGAGCCATGGGGCCGTATCAGTCTGGCCCTTCTTCCTTGGTGAAAGGAGGGCTGCCCCTTTATACGGTTGTTCATGCTGGTTTTTTTTTTAACTATTCTTTGATGTTTTTACAGAGGGGACCTTAGTTACTTGATCTCCTTTTGCGTAGGGATTGTTTTGTTTGGCCTTTTTTTTAGAATGCATCTTTTCCCCTTTTTTAGATGTTCTGTAGGGTGGATTGTGTAAAATTAATTCCCTCCTGCTGTTCCTACTTCAAGTTTTTGGTTCATGAAGTAAACCAGTTATTTTCTTTTTTAATATATTTAAGAACCCAGTCTTTAACTGGGTTGGTTATTCTGATTGATTTTGTCTTGCTTCCATGAGGGAGTGTGGAGAATTGATTTAAAAACTCTGGGCTCTTGTTGTTGAAACTGAAATAAGAATGTAGCTTTTTAAACTTAGTGTTTCAGGATTCTTCAGGCTCGCTCCTGTATTTCTAGCCAGACGAAAAATCCAACGAACACTGCAGAAACAACCCCGGTACATAAAGCAATTCCCTGATATCCCTCTGCTTGGCAGTGCTGCTTCCGATGCCAAACTGAAGACTCCATGTATCTTATGTTACTAAAGCAGCGCTAAGAACACCTGTGCACACTTTTTTCATTTGGAGCCACCTGCAAGAATAGATGTGTGCACATATGCTTACTCTCCCTTTAAAGAAGAAATCTGATGGAATTGACTCATGGATCTGTTGCCTTAACTGATCTGTCACAGTTTGTTTTGGGAGTGTGGGAGCACTTTTTTTCCAACCTGGACAAGGGATTGGACACTTCTCACTGGACTCTTGCCACTTCATGCTTTCTGGCCCATATTAGTGCTGATGGGTAGATTTTTTTTGCTGGACTGCCGCTAATGCTAGCAGATACATAGTCAGATTGGCTTGTGGTTGGAAGAACAGGCTTTTACTTTATTTATTTCTTGGAGAAAACTAGATATAGGCTTCTTCAGTTAAGTGGAAAGGATGATCTATGAAAATAACAGAACATGGAAATGAATTAAATACTTTCCCTTCCTGTTCAATGAAATGCTGAAGTATTTCTTTCTCTGATGGTACAGTTCAACTTCATAATTATACTGTTTTGAATAAGGGACAGTGACTTAAGCATTATATTTCAAGTGTAAAGCTTTTTACCCAGAGATGTCCCATCAACCCTTTTCTGTGTACTGTACTCATAAAAGTGTTAGAGTTAGTCTACTAGTATGGGTTTTCTGACTTTTGCCATATGTCAGTGGAACTCAATTCCCTGCATTTAACTAAAATCTTCTAACTTCTAGGTATGGGAGGGCCGATGGAGAGTCATTCCCCATGATGTTCTGCCTGACTGGCTAAAAGACAATGACTACCTATTGCATGGACACAGACCACCCATGCCTTCATTCCGGGCTTGTTTCAAGAGTATTTTCAGAATACATACAGAGACTGGTAACATCTGGACACATCTTCTAGGTATTTTCAGCTTGCTCTAATGCTAATTGGCTTCATTGCTCTCTTTCTTTGAGAGTAAGATAGAAAGGGATGTGAGGTGGTGAGCATTATTATTCCACTGTTAACCTGTTAAATTAACACGTTGGTATCCCTCTCCTGTGTTTATCCAACCAGGGCTGGATGGGACTTCCTTAATTATGGCATTCAATACAAATAAATGAATAAAAAATTTCCTGATTGTTCATAAATTACTGCTTTCTTTTTTTTTTTTCTAAATGGGTGTTAATTGAGATCACATTTCTTGCCACAGGAACGCACTTAAGTTGCAGCTTGTATGAATGTTTTCAACTTGCAAGGAGCCTTGAAGGGAAAGGGTTTCTTTGAACTATGCCCTTCTCTTTTTGTTTTGCAACAGACTTTTATTGTTCTAGAATGTCCAACTGGTCAGTCATCTTGCAAAAAAAGTGAAAATACAGAGTCCATGCAAGTCTATATTACATCAGTCTGAGACAGAAGTGTGGTTGGAATGCATAACTGAAGTAGGGCAGTACTTTAGTCTGCATGTGTGCTGCTGGTTGTCATGCAGCTCCTATGTTTAGTGCTTCTGTACATTAAAGTCATGCTTTTAGAAAGAAAAGCTTTCAGTATGCATGAACTTGACACCTTTCTACCTTACCGTTTTTCAGGATGTGTATTCTTTCTTTGTCTGGGAATCTTCTACATGTTCCGGCCAAACATGTCCTTTGTAGCACCTGTGCAGGAGAAGGTGGTTGTTGGATTGTTCTTCTTGGGAGCCATACTCTGCCTCTCCTTCTCATGGCTCTTCCACACAGTTTATTGCCACTCAGAAGGTGTTTCCCGGCTCTTCTCCAAGTAAGTGTCTAGAGGATAGAGCAGGCCAAGTAGGAAACAGGTGGGAAAACAGGGTTGGGATTTATGCCTGGAGCCCCAGTGTACGAGTTTTTCATTGCATGACTGCATGTACTTTGGAACAGAGTTGAGCAGAGATTCAATGCAGCTTCTTCTAATTATTGTTTGTTTCAGCATGAGGTTTTGTGATGTTGTTTTAGTCTTAAAACTCCTTCATTTTCTGCTGTTTGGCAGGCATATGCGTGCATCTTGCTGCTGTAATATACCTAAAGCTTAGTTGCAGGACTTCAAATTTTTTATGCAACTGTCACTTCTTGTCATTTCAACTATTCTGAGTAACTATAAATCTTAAACTTACGTAAGACAGCTCCACAGTGTGTATGAAGATGTCTTGGTCTTTTGGTTTTACTACGCGGTCTTTTTTGGCTGTCTGCTAAATGTCTCATATTTCCTAAGATTACTGAACCTAGGATTGTGTAATCTGCAAGACCACCTCTAAAGTAACCCAGCAATTAAAATCTCCACTGAAAAATTACCTCCATCTTTTGTAGGAGCGTTTTGTCAGAGTGTGGTAAAAAGCAATGGCTGTAGGAATTACTTTTCTTCACTGGTGTACAGAAAAACAGCATGGTTGAAAAATTGTGACATTATTCCCCAGTAGTCACTTAAGCTGATGCCTGAGTCATACTTGTTGTGTTTGTGTTGGCTGTGCTGTCACAACATACTGTGTGCCCTTTTTTGTGTTCCGAGGACTCTTGTGCTGCTTTTTTCCTCATCCGAAGCTTAAATCTGAGTTTTCCTCGAAAAGCTTTGGTTTAAAGGTGGCTGTATGTATTGCTGATGACTGTCCAAAAATGGCCTTACTAGCTGTCTATCAAGGTAATCCATTACGGTAGGAGGGCATTGGTGGAAGAGTTGCCATCAGGAAGTAAGTTGCAACGTGCGAGTAACTTCATTCTGCAGTGAGAAGTAGACAGTCAGTGTACTAAAGAAGAGAGTGTTGGTATGAGGACTTTGGAAGGTTCACGTTTCTTATCGAACTGATTTTTGTCTCCTCTAGGCTGGATTATTCTGGCATTGCACTTCTCATAATGGGCAGCTTTGTACCATGGCTGTACTACTCCTTCTATTGCAACCCTCAGCCTTGCTTCATCTACTTGATTGTGATTTGCGTCCTGGGCATCGCAGCCATAATTGTCTCACAATGGGACATGTTTGCAACCCCTGAATACCGGGGTGTAAGGGCAGGTAAGACCTGAAATTAACTGTTTTGCCTCTTGACTGCCTTTTCCTCCTTCCTACTTGCCACTTGGAAAAAACGCCTTGGGAAGACTTAAGAGAGCTTAATTTTATAGAGAGCTAATACTCTTCAATTGGCAGCTTGATGGGTTTTCTTTCAGCATTTGTTGTAGCCAGCTGAATGCACAGATATGGGCTGGTGCAAGTCCTGGAAGTGCATTCCTGAAATGGACAGTAACACATGCAGTAGGGAAGGTAGTGCAAAGTATTTCTAGCTATATCTAGCAACTTTGCTCTCAAAAAAATGACTGACTGCTTGGTGTGTGTATGTGTACTTCTACGGTTTGGCTTGTTTTTGTAATACCAGGCTCAGATGCCAGCAAATCATTAAATGATTGAATTAATCTGAATGATTTGCCTAGATAAAATACATATTTAAGACAAAGGGCCTAGTTCTTCTCTTCACATGATCAAAAGAACAAAACCAGATTTGGTTTCACATTCTGAGGTAGGAAGAAAGAGAAAGCTTTAAGGGGCAGCTATGGAATGTGCACACAGCCGGGTTGAGTAGTAACATTTCTTGTTACTTAACCTGCATATGCTGTCTACAGTAAATCTAGATTTCCTGGACAAGCTATGGGTGTACCTTCAGAGAATTCAGCCTTCCAAACAAAATCTGTGGATGGGACATGATTATTTCCCTCATGCACACTTTTTTAACAAGATTTCTGTATTTGCTGCTGAAATCTAAAGGAATAAACTATATTCTCGTATATGGCAGATCAGATGAGTCACAGATACTACTTTTCTGTTTCCTAGGGCTACTTGTACAGTATATGATAAATAATATCTTTGTTGTCTCTCTTTGTCTTGCTCTTGAGAGATTATTGTCAAGTGAGACACAGTTCATGTAGCCTCAGTGCCCTCTACAGCCCAAGATGTGTAACTGGCTTAATGTACATTAAAGCTGGCAGATGCAATCAGTAAATGAAATATTTCAGTATCTGCTGGAACATATAACTAAGTACCTTCTGGTATATGAAGGAAATCTGTGCATTCTTTAACTTCCTTTCCAATAAAGCTCTTTTGGGGACCTCCAGCTTCAAGAGTTGTCACCTTTTTGCTGCTTTGGCAAATACCAAGTTTTCCTTCCATACTTTTTGTGTTTTCATTGTCTCCACTACTGTGTTCAAACCTGACTCTCCCACGTTTTCTTTACCTCCCAGGAGTATTTCTAGGTCTGGGTCTTAGTGGGGTTATTCCCACCCTGCACTTTGTCATCTCTGAGGGGCTCCTGAAAGCAGCCACAATGGGGCAGATAGGCTGGCTGGCACTCATGGCATGCCTGTACATCACTGGTGCTGCACTATATGCTGCCCGCATCCCGGAGAGATTCTTCCCTGGCAAGTGTGACATCTGGGTGAGTCTACAGAATGACTGGATGAGGAGATCATCATGAAAGCTGGTTCCCCTTGAGGCTGGAGGATGTTGTGTCAGTTTTCTTATTGCAAGTATCAAACTGTTGCACCAGAAGCACAAGTCTTAAGGGGTCGAACAACTGTGGGCTCTCTGAGCCCAGCTTACCTGGTGCCTTTCTTGCTGAGTTATCACAAACTGGCTGGTCTGAGGTAACAGCTGGTGTGCAAATTCACGCCAGCACATGTACTAGATAGCTTGAATAGATGGGTAAGCAACTTCGTGAACCTTTTTGTGTGTGCAAACACACACCTTACCTTGCTTCTGTGCAGAATAGTGCATGTTAATTTCTCTGATGTTCAGTGTGTTCTCTGGGATCTTCACCACGTCTGGGTCCTCATCTTGTGCAGCCAGTGAAAATGCTGGATAGAGATGGTAGACTTTGGAAGGATCTCTGGCCCAGAAGAAGGGAAAGTGGGGTGAGCAAGAGTGTGGGTGGGGGAAACTTGGTGTGAGGGCAAGGACCATGAAGACTGCAAAGGGGAAATATGTGGGGAACATGTAAAGAAAGAAATCAGGTGGTGCAAGAGTAGAGATGAGAGAGGAGTGGACATTTGGAAGGCCACTGTACTTCAACTAGGATAGTTTAAGGCCCCTAAAGAAGACTAGAAGTGAGAATGAGACCTGGGTGGTTTGCGTGGCCTTTGCACAGCACTGGTTTGCTAGGTTTGTTTAAATGGCCAAAGACTTGTTAGGATAGTGAGCTAGGCTCCAAAAGCACTGGTGTACCACCAGCTCTTTTCCAAGCTTCCCGTGGAGCCTGCAAATACACATTTGTAGAAATTTTTCAAGACCATTATCCATATCAGTATGGCTTCTCTCAAACAAGGGCATGCTTTGTCATGTAGTTCCCTCATGGTTTTCATTCTGCTGTACTATAATCAATAGCATCCTGGGCATTCATTCAGACCATCTGGTTGTTTCTAGGGTTTAATATAATACCATTTTTTTTTTCTCTGTGGCAGAGAAATAAAATAACAACATTCAAAATCCACTTGGTGAAACTGATGCCTGTGACCAGAGTGGAGTTTGTACCTGTTAGCTTTATGAGATAGCCCTTTTTCTTAATAAACCACCAGTGTGCGTTGTGGAGGAACTGATTTTAAAAGTGTCCTCCTTAAGCGTTTTGCCCAAAGCTCTGAAATTGTCCGTGTCCTTTTGCAGAGATGCACTATAGCATTTCTGTAGCATATTTGTTGATTGACCAGCTGGTTAAGATGACTGTGAAGGAGAGGGGGAGTGTGTGTGTGTGGAGAATGTGATTATCTTGCTAATAATAGGAGAGGAATGGGCTTTAATACACAACTTTGAGAACTTTGCAGCTTGTGGTTTGAGGTACTGCTACGTGTTACTGTGTACTTCAGCTGAATGTGTGGCATTTTTGGAGACAGGGTAGCACTAGAACCCAAAGTACCCCGGCTGAACAGAAGTGTTTTCTTCTCTGCAGTTCCACTCCCATCAGCTGTTTCACGTCTTTGTAGTGGCTGGCGCTTTCGTGCATTTCCATGGGGTTTCGAACCTCCAGGAGTTCCGTTTCACAGTTGGAGGTGGTTGCACAGAGGAAGATGGGATGCAGTAAAACCAGCCTTCAGCCCAAGATCGTAACCAAAACCGTACCGCAAGCGCGGTTGAAGCATACAGGCTAGCAAGATGAATACCTAGAAGAACACATGTTTCAGCTGATGGAGCATGGAGCTTCATGGGGATTCTGACTAACCAAGATAAATTCTATACCTCAAGCAATGGAATGAATCAATTTGAAGACCAGGAAATTCTGAAACCCTAATTTATTCTTGGGATCTACAGATTGAGCTACAGAGGACCCTTTCCAAATCGGCTTCTGTTCAATGCCATATTTATTTGTAGAATTGGGGAGGGATAGCTTAGCGGTTTCCTTTTTTTTTTAAGAAAAAAAAAATCAAGGTTAAATTTATATCCTCTTGGAGGGTTTGGGAGTTGACTTTAGATGCTCTTTTGGGAGAAAAACAAATTGTAAATAAGATTTCTAACTTTCTGTTTAAATAAAATTTATATAAATGTTTTAAACAATGGGTGGGGGGAAAAGGGTTTTTGTAAAGAATGCAACATGCAAGTACCACACACTGTTTCAATTTTGCACAAAATAAATGATTGCAGGAGGACCAGGTAAAATTCCCAGGAGTGAAGCATGTTGGCCCTGCAGATTTTCCTGGTGGCCAGCATGCCCTGGGCAATGTGGGGTCCTGGCCAGCACTTGGAGTAGGTTCAGTACATGTACGCAAGGGTTGTGGAGGCTGGATTAATCATGTTGTCATCCAGGTCACAGTGTTAGCAAGTTTATTTACTCAAGTAACTCGAAAGATACATCTGCGCCCTGCCTAAGCGTGTGGGACAGCTGCCTTCCAAGCTTGTGTGGCCTGTATAGTTTTGGATAGTGGATCTTACAGTTAGTTGTTTTGGTTCTCATCATATGAATTGGAGTGTGGTGGGATGACTGCACATGAAATGGCAAACAGTCCAACTCCATCAGTGCCTGCCTATACCCAAAGGCCCCCATTGAGTAGGTGGTTGCCATTTGTGGGCCTGCTCTGTTTTGTCTAGAACAAATGATGGTAATACACTTGTCAAAAGATAGTTGTGCATGTGAAGGGGAAACAGAGGTGGGGTTAAGATGGACTGGAAAGAAGAAGCTGTGTGCTCCAGAACTTGGAGTTAACAGTTACTGCAGACCTCAAGCACATTACCTTCTCATGTGTCAGGCTCCATATGCCAAGGGAGTTTGCAGGTTTTTCTTTTTTAGAGGAAAAATCCACGATCAGCCCAATGCAGTTCCATTTTATTTTTCCTTAGGTCTGCTTCCCATCTGTGCTTTAGCAATGGGACTGCTGGTATTTCTTAAACCTAAAACTAAGAGTTCAGTTGGATTGCTGTGGAGCAGACACACCTCCTATATAAGGGGAAGCATATACCCTTCTCTTGTGTAATTGATGTAGCTTGATCTTTGGAGCCCAGTCAGAAGCCAGACTGAAAGAGAGTCTTTGGAGTCATAAGATGAAACTTGAACGTTTTGTTTGTTATGGCACAGGTATTGCTTGGAGTGTTTGGTTGGAAATTCGGAGCAATTACCTCTCTCTCAGATGAGTTAAACAGCTCATTAAATGCTGTATTTCACAAGGAAGGTAGGTAAAGGGTGGGTTTTTTGTTGTGGGTGAGTTTTGGGGTTTTTTTTAGAGACTCCTGCAACTTTGAATTTTCATCCTTCAAGAGAAAAATGTGGATTGCAAAGATCTTCCTATACCCTGGATATCACGGAGTGTGTTTTGGGAAGTTACTTTGCCTGATGGAGGCAAATGGAAGCAGAATGCCTTCCTAAAGTTGACTGGATATTAAGGCTTCAACCCTTGACCGGAGTCTTTGTAAAGCCTCTGAGAGCAAGGTCAGCTGCAGAAAGAGGTGCCGCAGTAGTCTGCGGATTAGAGGGATGTGTTCTCAGTAGGATCACTACACTGGATGCCTGTAGGGCCAGAAGTTTATCACAGGTCTGTGTGGTACTAAAATGAAATAAAGAGCAGTATTAACTTGGATGTAAGGGCTGATAAGCACTGGCATCCTGGACAAAGATGTAGAGTTGCCTGGCAGGAAGTATACTGGTGTCTGAGAAGAGCGTGGTACATATCCAAATCGGAGTTGTCTGTAAGGCGCTCTGGGATACCTCTGTAACCATACCAGCAGAAGTGGCAGTCTCCATCTTGGATCATCCCACGTTCACTCCTTGAAGGGTGATTGTAACCTGGTCCTACACAGCACAGAACTATTATAAAAACACAGTACTCCACCTGCTATTCTTAACCCAGTCTCTCCATTCAAGAAGTTTGTGTGTTCCAATAAAAACAACCTAGCTGTGCACTTTTCTGTAGCTCTTGCTGAGAACTCTTCCCAGGTTGGCACCTGAATGCCTTACTCTCAGCAGTCAGAGGCTTGCTTGCTCTGTGTGCAGGTTATTGCCATAGAATAGTTAGGACCTACAGCTTCTTTCCTTCCCCATTAAATAGTGGCCTTGTTCAGTATATTTCTTTTTAAAAATTGCTTACTGTTGGAAGCAATGAAGCACATTCTGGGGTTTTGATGGTTGGGGACTCTGGTGATGGTTCCATAATAAGATGGGATCTTATTACTTGCTGTATTCTTAACTTCTGCTAATAAAAGAACCAAATGGATTATTGTCTAGTTTGGGTCTTTCCATGCTGTGTGTGAAGCTTGGAAGTGTCGCTCTTGCTTTCTTCATTCCCAATGCTTACAGACAACACTTTGTAGGTAAAAGACTTCTGCTGGTGCAGAAACCAAACTGATGCTTAAAGGCTTGTTTACGTACAGTTGAACCAATGCTTGCTGTATGCCTCCTTGAGAAAAGGCCAGTGGGTGGGAGAGTTTGTGCAATTGAAACATTAGTTCTGCTATGTGGCATCCTCTTGATGCCTATAATACACATCAGGTATGTGCCTGGCCTTGCCATAAGATCTCAGTACTGTCTAGTGCGTTTAAATATCACAGCAGACAAAGGTGTCCATGGATTGTGCTGCCTCTTAGTTACAGCGGTAATCTTGAGGGAAATTTGCTTTTCCAAAGTCTAGACTTTTATTCAGTGCTCAACAGAGTTGCCAGTTGTAGTACGGGGCTGACAGTGATGTGAGGGAAGGAGGTGATGTTAGGTATGTCTGGCGCTGCCGCTTTGTGAAGTTGCTGTCATAAGAATTTCCCTGATACACAATTATTCTGAACTTGCAGACAATGAAAAGCCTGGGACAACATGTATCCTGTCTCCTGTCTGCTTGTTTTTGACCTCTGGCATATTTTAAAAGTGACTTGAGGACAAAGTGGGATGGGTGTTGCTGCTAAGTTTCGTCTTTTGTTTCAGAAAGCTTAGCTGCAGCCATGCTGTAGAGTGAGAGCATAAAGCTGCAGGGTGGTCTTGGGGCTGGCTAGCCTTTGTCAGGTCTCTCTCTCCATCCATCAGGCCTCCATCTGAACATAGCCTAGCTATGATTTCAAAGGTTACCTATTTTTGCATGTTTAGAGACACTAATTTTCAGTGGCTCAGTTTTCCAGTTCCTGGTCTTGCAGATTTTAGAGCAGACTGCATGTGTACTGTCCGCTTACTTGCTCCAAGGTTTAAAAGGGCTTTCTCTTGCCGCTGCAGGTTGGGTGCCAGAGGGTAACAGCCAGACAAGGGAGAGGAACAAGCTGGCCAAGGAGTCAAACTGGGTGGAGTGTGGTGGAAGGAGCAGAAACTGTGATTTGTGGACAGTATTGGAAAGCCAAAGATGAAGCACGGGGGTGTGAGAGCTTACAAGGAGAAAAATGGGCAGGAGAGACTGAGGGTGTGAAGAACAAGAGCTGGGGGGGAAAGAGGGTGGGTGTTGGGAGACCTTGGTTGTTGTGGGCAAATTTTTTAGGTGAGTTGAGGTTGAGAAGAGACATTCAGAAGGCCTGGACTCAAATTCCTGGTGTAGAGGAAATGCCTCCCAGCGTGTACCTCTGTAAGGGATTTATTGTTGTCTCCTGGTATGCAGGCTTAGGGGCTGGCAGGGGTGGGAAGAAGTGGGGTTTGGCTGGGGAGGGAGTGGGGCTGGTGCTGACCAGAACAGCCATGTGCCTGGAGTGGGGCCTTCTGCTCCTTTATTGCTGTTCCTCACCTGTCAGCAAACATCTGTGAACTGTCTGAGCAAGATATGCCTAATCCTCCTCTTGTGTTGGCTCACACTGAGTCTGGGCACCTACAGCTGCGCTGTTCATCAGTTACTTGACTCAAGATACATGTTTTGCAGTGACTGGTAAGAGCCAGATCCAGTAAGTAAGTTGTAACAGCTTCAGGATGGATTTTTTTTTTACATGCAAAGCAAATTAAAGGAGCGTGGAGAACATGTGCATCAGATTACAAACAAATTGCACTAAAAGAAGCTGGCATATTTGAATATGAATGGGGTTTATTCTGTTTTCAGAAAGCAGAGTGATACTTAAAAGTTGTCTGGGCAGGCTAAGATTGTATGTCCTGCCTCTTCTGCATGTAGTTGTGGCCGTGCTTTGCTCTCTCCCAAGAATCACTTGCTTCATTCATTGCAAAGGGTGAACTTATCCTGAGTATGGATTAAAGCGCTGCAATCAAGGTGAATGTCTAAGACCATTGCCTAACTTTTTAAGGAGCTGGAAATAAATAAAGTGCATCATTAGGATGGAGGAGCTGAGTTTGGTTTAGTAGAAGCTGTTAGAGGCTTCCCTGCAAAACAGAGTTCTTTTTTTCCCTTTCTTTTTTTCCCCCTTGCCTCCTGTGTGGCATCAAGGAATTTGTTTGAACCAAACTCTCCTGCTCATCCATGCTTCTATATTTGTCTGGAGTGCCCAAGCTGAAATTTTCCAGGCTGATTTCCAGGGGTGCTGAGCACTGATGTGCTTTGCACGAAGTTCCCTAGAAAGATCAGCTCCTTGGAGAGGATGTGTGTTAATTCCTAGGTCCATGTTCCTCTTTATGAAGAAGGAACACCAGCCTCAAGCTCATGGCAACATCGAGCGCATTGCGCCTCATCATCTTCAGCTATTGATGAGCAACGTAGGAAAATCACAGTGGGAAACCCTCTGACCAGCATCACCTGGGCAGTGCTGTGGTTCAGCTGCTGCGAGAGGACTGCAGTGTGACTGGCTCCTTGCTCACCATCAGGAAGGTAGGCTCCTTGGGGAGGGATGGTGGGATGCGAGCCTAGCACTCCTGTGTGTATGTGCAAGGGGATAGTTTGCTGGCTCGCTCTTATTTCTGGCATTTCCAGGAGCTTCACCTCTGCCCTACTCTCCTCTGTTAAAATTCACGTTTGAACAACAGAGCTATTACTGTTTTGGAGCTGGGAGGTGTTTGCACTGGAGATTCATGATGATCTCACTTATTAGCAGCTTCATCTCTATAGCGGTACAACTGGGCACAGAGGCTCTTCACAGTTGGCATAAAAACCGAACTGGTCTAGTCGTAAATGAGATAGGAAAATCATGGGCCTGGCTGGGTTCCCAGAGCAACGATGTGTTTCCCTAACGGAGGCAAATGACACCCAAACCAGCTCCAGTAGCTGTCTTTTATTTTCATCTCTAACCATGCCGAACCTGTGCATATGGTTTCAGGTTT